GATATGTTCTTATATGACAAATATTTAAAGAAACACGTGAAAGTTAATAGGGAAAAAAAAATCAGAATTACCACTCAAGATAATTAAAAATATTATTCACTACTCCACTCAAATTAAATAATTGTCATTCAAGAGAGATTGAAGGAAATAGATCTGATTAAAAGGGTAATAAAAATAAACATGCCAAGATTTGTAATTAGTTAGTAAATAGACTTAATATGTGTAAATCCAGAATTACACTAATATAAAATTTCAAAAATGCCCTTAATTAAAAAAAGAAATGAAATTTTAAAATTTACTTTGACTCTGTCCACGCTCTATCTCCTCGTGTTGGGATTTAATTTTCGGATTTGATTGTTTTCCAGATTTGATTGATTGTTAGCATTATTTTTGGTATATTTTGGTAATTGATCTGATTGAAGATTAATTGACATATGTTATTATCATTTTGGAGAGGTTCAATTTATTTGAAAAATGCTTAGAATCAATCAAATTGATTTGATTTGATTAAAGTCAACTTTTGAGTATTTTTGGTAAGTTGAAAATAGATGGAATGATTGATTGCAAAGAAGATCATGTGGAGTTGCTCGGATCATCCGTGTTTTTGAGGAATATGTCCAGATTCACTCTATCTTATATAGAAAGATTTCAAGAATCAAGAAAGTTGACCTTCAGTTCAAATTTTACAACTCTGTTGAAGTATTTGTTGCATCATAATTACATTCCATCTTGTTCGAGGAACCTTATTTCAGTTTCGGGACTTTCACCACATGGTTTTAGTTTCAATTTTGTTGGTTCTTCCTTTAAGTTGCTAAAAGAAAATGTTACCATTGGTGATGGTCTTTTAGATGATGGGTTATTCAGACTTCATTTGAGCTAGCTTCACTTATGGTTACAACACTGTGCAAGTTAATAATGTTGGCATTAAGCATAGTGTTATAACTGAGAATGTTATGCCCCGGAGCCGGGATTAGTGACGTCGAGGCTCGTTTAGGAATTAAATGTGATTAAGAAAGTAATTAAACATTTATAATCATAATAGTCAAAATCAAAAGTAAAATATTAAAGAAATCTCCAAACGAGCCCCACTATTTAGCTGAAAATATATTACAAGAAAGTGACGGGGTCTGCCGCACTTTCTGATTACAAGAGGTTAAAACTAAGCCTCTGACATCGTTCAGGGCTTCACCCACAGGATATACAACATTGTACATACATGAACATGTAAATAGCATTAAAGACATCAACCACAGTCTAGGAATCTATAATTCAGAGTTTACAATTCTTACATTTGTATACCAGGAGGATGAACATAATCCTCTCTTAACTGGATGGTAGCAACTAACTCAGCTACTCCGCACTGCTCCTAGAGTCGCCTGGGAGGGATTAATATTTATAAAACAAATAAAACATGAACGAAAGACCCAGTAGGGTACATTTTGAAATAGCTTTCTAAACAAGTAAATAAGTGAGTAAGCAAGTAAATAAATAAATGAATAAGTAAATAAGACAATCAGTTCCAATTCAACAGCCGGAACATCACATTCTTTTTCTGAAAGGAAATATATTTAAAAATCTCCGTATTACAGGCATCAACAAGTAATTTATACTATGATAAATTACTTACACAACCACAAGCACAAGCCTATCACCCCCGGGCCGGGTTTCGGGTTCTGCCAACAATGATGCACTCTCTACATCCTATCTAGGCCATTAGCCGGTTTACTGATTTGCAAGATCTCTTATCTTAAGAAATCATTGATTAAAATTTATAAAACAGTTTATTATAATTCCAATAGCTAAAATCAAGCTATTGTTTATAAACATCCTTTTCTTTCGCAAACATGTCATTTCTTTAAAACGTTTGCAAGGCCAACTTTTTTTGAAAACAGGCCCACAAAGGAAAGGGTAAGGAATCCTACCTCACAAGTACCAAACCTGGCTAGCGTTGCACTATTTCAGCTTTCGCTTCCTCAAAGCCTCTCAATCCGAGTCCTCAGTTAGCACTGATACAAAACAACACTTTAGGATCCAATTCTCATTCCTAAAGCAGTTCAATCTCAATTATACCCTTTGATTTCCTATTAGTGTGCTTTAATTCAATTATCAGTTTCACAAACCATTTCATGTTTCAAATCATCATTTCAAGGGTTTTCAATCTCAAAACATGGATTAAAGATGTTAATCCATTCATTCTAGGTCCCTAAATGAAGCTAATTTGGGTTCTCCTCGAAAACTGATGTCAAAACAACATTTTCAAGCAAAACAAGGTCAAACCCCGTGTACACCGGTCGACTGGTGACAGAGCAGTGCAACACCACCGGTCGACGGATGGTGTGCACTTCGGTTGACCGCATAGGTCGACCTGATGGAGTGCAAACTGGTCGACCGGTGGGAGCTTGACAGCTCGACCGAAAGGGCCGATCCGAAGAAAATTCGGCCAAAACCTACAATTTCAAGTCCAAATTCGAAATATTTCAAAGGGAAACAACCAAATCCAGATTCTAGGTACTAAATCAAGTCCAAAGAACAAAAAATCCCCAATTTTTACCATGATTTTACTCAAAAACCATAAAAATCCATTTCAAACCAAAAACAAGTTTTCTAATGAACAAATCCGAGATTCAAGAGAGGGTTTTTCAGAAATCTTACCTTAAATCCTTCTCTTGACGTTGAAAGCTCTTTAAATTCCTTCTTTGGTTCAAAAATCCGGTTGATTTGGTAAGGGTTTGAACGAGAGATAGAGAGAGAGAGAGAGAACGAATGAGAGAGAGAGAGAGTGAAAATGATAAGAGAGAGAAAGATGCACGGGAAGGGAAAAAGAAAAGCAAGAATAAGAAAAGGAAAAGAAAAGAAAAAGACAGGTGTCACAAAATTGAAAGATAGTCTAGAAAATGTGTCTTCACACCCTTTAGGGTGAAAATATAAATACTTATATATTTAGATACCTTAGAATTATTTAAATTTACACATCAGAAATATTTAATCAACAATAATAATTAATTAAACCAGATTAGGCACACTAATAAATCTTAATTACCTTAATTAATTTCGTTTAATTCTTTAGGGTGATATAGAGAAATTCTCAATTTGTGGCACAGGAGATTATGTCATATCTCAATTGAGAGAATTAAAATATTAGTAAATGATGAAGTCCTTAAGACTCTTGATTTTACTGATTTTGGCATTTGTGTAGACTGTATTTTAGGAAAGCAGACCAACAAAGCTAGGATGTTAGGAGGATTTCTAATGTTTTAGAGATCCTACACACGGACATTAGCGGTCTCTATGATATGTGCTTAAATGGTAAAAAATGATTTATTACTTTTGTCGATCGCTACTTAGGATATATGTATCTCTTTTTTGCTTTATGATAAGAGTGAAGCATTAGATGTTCAAAATCTATAAAGTAGAGGTTGAGAAATAATTAGGCGAACAAATTAAGATCGTGAAGTTTGATAGAGATAGTGAATATTATGGTGCGTACTTCTATCAATCTACTAGTAGCGCTATATCTCACGGAAATAGAGACAATTTTTTTTAATGTTTTACGTAATGTGACCGACGTTGAGTGGTTAACCATTGCCGAGCGGGTGGGACATAGAGATGCAACAATAGGTCGGGGTTTGTGGGCCAGCCCAGACCCATCCTGATACAGTGCATGGCGCATCATTGTTCAAGGCACGGTCCAGCCTATAAATATTAGTGGGTTGAGCTGGGCCAATATATATCAGTCCATGGACCGGCCTGACACGGCCCATGAAAAATCATGGGCCAGGCCGGGCTGGACTGGCTCGTCTAGGCCCATGATTGGCCGGCCCAGCCCGACCCATGATGGGTCAGCCCAACCCAGCCGGGCCCGTTTAGGCCCATAATGGACCGGCCCATCTAGCCCATAATATCTTCATGCTTTTTTTTTCTTTTTTTTTTTATCTAATGCATAATTATTCTGATTAAACTCTTTTTTTCTTACTAAGGTTTTATCCCACTGAGTTTTTCTTAGAAAAGTTTTTATTTAATGACGCAATCGTAAATAAAATATCTATTTTCATATTTCTATTGACTATTTAAACTTTTATATATTTGTTAACTTATTTAAAAATTCAAAAATAAAACATAAAAAATAAAAAAAATGAAAATTGCATGCTTAGATGGGTTGACACATCTAAACCCATAATGGACCAAGATGGGCCTTGAATGGGTCAACCCATTCAAGACTCATGGCACGGTCCATCCTGACTCACGGCACGGCCCATTCTGACCCACGTAAAATTGACCCATGGTGTGGGCTGGACCGAAGTAATTCTTATATGGGCTGGCTCGGTTGGCCCAGCCCACTGCCTGTGTGGGCCTGAGGAGAACAGGTTGGGCTGGGCCAGCCCATTTTTGCATCTCTAGTGGGACAGAAGATACCAGAGTGGATAAAAAACGACATGAATACTTAGAGATGACAATAATTTTGAAAACTAACAAACAAAAAAACAACCTAATTGAAACAATAAACAACTGATAAATCAGAAAAACAACAATAACCTCGAAACCGGCTTGCATGAAAAGATTAGAAATAGAAAAGGACATCAACGCTAAAATGATAAGGAATAGAAAAGGCGAAAAGTCACGAAAAGACATTAACAGGAGAAACGACATTAACATGAATGTAGCAACAAAATAAGAAATCAATATCTACAAGAAACGGGAAAAGGTTAAAAAAACGATATAATACTTTAAAAAGCTGTTTATGAAATTATTTAGATAATCTGTTAGACGTGTTTCTAACTTTTAAAATAACTTCCAATCAAAATCATAAAATGAGACTTTAAAAAAAAAAAAAAAAACTTTTGAACGAACTTGAAAACTTATACTATAGTTTTATTAAAACATTATAAACTTCATTTTAACACTTCTCTATATAATTTGGATTACAGTGGAGTCGTTGATCTGTTCCTCTCTCTACTGTGTACATAAAGAGAGAAAAAATGGTTTAATTTGCACAGTAATCGTTATATGAAAGGATATACAAAAAGTTCCAAACTAATAAACTTCCAGAGAAATTGATAGAACTTTGCGCTTTCCTCCTGTACATAAACATATTTAAACTTGTGTCAAACATTAATTATATTTGTCAATCACTAGAATAACGTGTACTTGATTAGTACAAAGTAAAATATTACCTTGGTATAATTTGCTTTGTCCAACTTCCTAACCTGAAAACACAAAAAGTTATTAAGTTTTAGAGTTCTTACTTTCTAATTTTTATCATTCTTGGTAAATATATGTATCATGACAAACCTCCAAAAGTACCCACAAGGCCATGTGAGCGTGAAAGGGCACCATTATGTAAGGCTTGAAAGCCTGTAAAAATAAAATAAAATAAAATCCTTCATCAGTTCTTATTTGCCACATGCACAAGGACCTCTTGGAAAAAGAAAAAGAAAGAAAAAGAACAAAAGACGGAGAGAGAAACTGTGAGAAATCTATTTGGAGAATATTCCGATAACAGTCAGTTCACCTGTTTTCTTTGTTTTTTTATACAATACGGATCCAACTCGCAACCTCCCCACAAACTCATTCCACCCAAATCCCTTGTGCCATTGGACCAACTAATCTTAACTTTTAATGTTTTTTGTTTCTTTGTTTTGTTTTTTGTTTTTTTGTTTTTTTTTGTTTTTTGTTTTTTTTGTTTTTGTTTTTGTTTTTTTGTTTTTTTGCCTTGCTCTTACCACGCTAGCAGTTTAATTGCCAGATGCTAGATTATGGTTAATTCAACCGCCTGCTTTTTTTGTTTGTTTGTTTGTTTGTTTTTTTCTTTTTTTGTTTTTTTGTCTCTTTCTTAACACACTTGCTAGCGAGGTTTATTGACATGCTTTGATCCTAAGATTATCATGATTTTACGTTTGCGTCAAAACCTTTTTGTTCCGATAGTCAAAGCATCTCTTACCATGTTAATAATTTCATATTTTTAATTAAAATAATTAATAATTTAATACGACTATCTCCCTTTCTATGGACCTGGCCCAAGCCCAACCACCTAAAGCTTCTGAGGAGTTACCTGCTGCTGAGACCACAGAAGAGCCCAAAGAGAAGGAACCTCCTGGAAGGCCCACACGCCCCATCAAGAAGTCAGCGTGGCTTAACAACGTTGTTTGAGGTCGTAGTGAATGTTGAATAATTTCATTGAGTTTATTGCCAGTCTGTATTAGCTATTTCAATTTGATTTCTATTACTCTTCTCCTAGTCTAGGGAGTCACGAAGTTGGTTAGGAGGTTATGCTTGGCTCACGCCATTTAAGCAGAGGAATGTAACGATGAGAGGTATCAAAACAATTACTAAGAAATTTTCTTCCAATCTTGATTCTATCGCTTTTCTCAATCTTATTCTTTCTGGAGTTCACACCTGCTCGAAAGGTGAAATTCGACACTTAACATTGGTGCTTTCATTTCGATTCTCAATTTCCGTCTCCATGGATTCATCCGACACTCCTCCGATCTCCAAGCAGCACCTGGATACGCTGTCCGATTCCGTCCACAACACTCTTCAGCAATTCATGGTCGCGGTTGATTCTAAGATGGCCAACCTTCGGGCGGAACTTCGGCACTCCACCCCGGTCCTTGACGGCTCGTCGTCGACAGCGACACCGCCGCCTTGCTTTGCACCGCCGACTCACCGTCCAGACAATTTGCCCTTACGTTCCATGAAGTTGGAAGCTCCTCGTTTCGATGGGTCTAACCCAATAGATTGGCTGTTACGCATTGAGGCCTTTTTCGATTATCACGGCACGCCGGCGGACGCCCGTTTACAGATCGTTGCATTCCACTTGGAGGATCGCGCCGCGACTTGGTTCCAGTGGGCCAGGCGGAATGGCCTGTTACCGACTTGAAAGGTTTTTCTGGAGGCCGTTAAACACCGTTTTGGCCTTACAGTGTTCGAGGATTCAGAAGGCAACCTCTCGAAGCTCACTCAGACGGGTTCGGTCACCGAATTTCAGGCACAGTTCAAGACATTGTTGAACAAAGTTTCTGGTATCTCTGAACCCCTTCTCATTAGTTTTTTTATCACTGGTCTATAGTAGGATATTCGCAGGGAACTCCAATTCCATCGGCCGACGACTCTCATGGAGGCTTTCTTCATGGCCCGCGCCTATGCCACGCGATCCGAGGACGTTTCTTCCCAGGCAAAGAAAGGGTACCGCGGGTTCTCGGCCCATGGTTCTGGCACTCTGTTAGGCCCAAACCAGTTTCTGGCCTCGCCAGGCCCACCTTTACACTCTTACTAGGGCTTCTCTCGGCCCAGCCCCGCGTTCACTGGGCCTTCCCCAAAATCTACCTCGCCTCCGTCCCTGCCTCCTTCCAAGCTGCCGCCTCTGTTACAAACACCAGCATTACATGTTCGTCGCCTCACCATGGCCGAGTTACGTGACAAACGCGAATGCGGGCTTTGCTATAACTGTGATGAAAAGTTCGGTCTCAACCATCGGTGCCGGAGCAAATATTTATTGCTCATTGGTTATGACGAAGAAGGCGAAGAGCTCGGTGAGCCAGGGGATGATTCCGACACACCGGATGAGGAAATAGCCGGTGACATCTCCACTCTGCATGCTCTGTCGTGTCCACGTAAGGGTCGCTCGTTGCGAGTTTTCAGCTCATACGGTTCTCACCAATTTCAAGTGTTAATCGACAGTGGGAGTACTCATAACTTCATCAAGCCGGCGCTGGTTGAACGCTTACAGTTGCCAGTAACGTCCATTTCCCGATTCTGAGTTTCGACGGGTAGTGGCACTTCTCTGGTATGTCAATACCACTGTCCGGCAACCACCTTAGTTATTCAGGGAATTGATTTCACGGTGGATTTATTTTTGCTTGCGATCGATGGACCGGATATCGTCTTAGGATTTCCGTGGCTCCAGATGCTTGGGCGTGTTGCCCACGATTATTCAGCCCTCACAATGGACTTTCTGTGGAAGGGCCAACAGGTGACTCTCTGCGGTGAATCTTTGAAATTACCCAGTCCTGTTTCTCTTCATCACTTGCAAGCTCTGTTACAGGTTGAAGCGAGTCCTCAACTTTTTAAGCTCTTGAGCTCTCCAGTCGCCGAACCAGGCCACAGTTCGACTGATTTCTCATATCCGCCTGACCTTGCCCCACCAGTGGTCTCCCTATTACACAAATATCACAGCCTCTTTCAGCCTCCCACTGGTCTACCACCTCAACGGACAGTTGACCATCGTATACACTTGATCACCGGCACCAAACCAATCAACGTTCGCCCATATCGATACCCGCACTTTCAGAAATCCGAAATGGAAAAACTAATTCGAGAAATGCTTGAACAAGGAATAATCAAACCAAGCCAGAGCCCTTTTTCTTTGCCAGTTCTCCTTGTCCGGAAGAAGGATGGCTCATGGCGCTTCTGCGTCGACTATCGAACCCTTAATGCCGCCTCCTTGAAGGACAAGTTTCTGATTCCCACTAACGATGAGCTGCTCGATGAATTGGGCGGAGCCACCATTTTCAGCAAGTTGGATCTGCGTGTTGGGTATCACCAGATTCGGGTTTATTCCAAGGACACATACAAGACAGTGTTTCGCACGCACGACGGCCATTTTGAGTTCCTCATCATGCCTTTTGGCTTGACGAATACCCCGTCAACATTTCAAGCCACGATGAATCAACTCTTTGCCACCTATCTCCGAAGGTTCGTCATCATCTTTTTCGATGATATTTTGATTTATATTTCTTCCTTGACTGAACATCTTGGGCATTTGGAACTTGTTTTGCATCGTCTTTACTCTCACCAATTTTTTGTTAAGCTTTCAAAGTGCTTGTTTTGCAAGGACTCCATTGATTATCTGGGCCATATTGTCTCCTCCAAGGGAGTTCATGCTGATCCTAGGAAGATTGAAGCCATGGTTCAGTGGCCTGTTCTGAAAACCACCAAGCAACTTCGGGGGTTTCTCAACCTTACGGGCTATTACCGCCATTTTGTGGCCGGGTATGCCACTATTGCAGCTCCCCTCACAGACCTTCTACGCCGTGATGCATTCGAATAGATGGTTTCTGCTAGTGCGGCTTTCTCAGCCTTTAAGCAAGCTATGGTTGAAGCCCCGGTGTTGCACCTTCCTGATTTTTCTCAGGAATTTGTTATCGAGACAGACGCTTCTAATGACAGACTTAGGGCTGTCCTCATGCAACAAGGCCATCCCATCGCGTATTTTAGCAGGAAATTGGGTCCCCGCCTCCGAGCCTCATCCGTTTACATCAAGGAGTTGCATGCTATCACTGAGGCGGTGTTAAAGTGGCGCCAATACTTGTTAGGCCAGTCTTTTGTGATTCGTACTGATCATAAGAGCATCAAAGAACTTCTCCAGCAAGTTATACAAACTCCGGACCTGCAAGCTTACGTCTGGAAACTTCTCGGCTTCCATTTTCGCATTGAATATAAGCCAGGTAGTACAAACCGTGTGGCCGATGCACTTTCCCGTGTACCCGCGGAGTGGGACGACAGGGAGACTTTCCCTCAGTCTTCCTTCCATGCTCTGGTTTCTAGTCCAGTGTACCACTTGCTGGACCAGCTACATCATGACAATCGCACCGATCCGTATATGCAAGCCTTTCATGTGAAACATCATTAAGGTAACCTTTCCTCTCCATACTCTGTGGTTGGAGGATTGCTTCTGTTTTGAGGGCATTATGCCATCAGTCTGAAGTCGCCTCTGTGTGAGCTGATTCTCAAGGAATTTCATGATACCCCAAGCGGAGGGCATGCGAGAATCAACGGACCTTTGTTCGCCTATCTGTAAATTTCCATTGGCCACGAATGAGACAATCGGTTGTCAACCACATTGCCAATTGCCTTTTATGTCAATAGGTGAAATATTCCACTCAAACTCCAGCGGGATTGTTGCAACCATTACCGATTCCAGAGGCCGTCTAGGAAGATGTGACCATGGACTTCATCACCGGCCTTCCTCCATCAAAGGGGCTTTCCGTCATTATGGTGGTCGTGGATCGCTTGACCAAAATAGCTTATTTTGGTCCCTTGCCAGCTTCCTTTACAGCCACCTAAGTGGCCACTCTTTTTATTGAGACAGTGGTGCGCCATCATGGTTTTCCCCATTCGATTGTCTCGGATCATGACCCAGTTTTTCTGAGCAAGTTTTGGAAACAGCTTTTCGAGTTGAGCGGTACTCGGTTGTCAATGAGTAGTGCATACCATCTGTAAACGGACGGCCAATCCAAGGTCGTTAATCGAGGGCTAGAACAATATTTGTGAGCTTTTTCCCAAGAACGGCCAAGCTTGTAGCTCTCTATTGTGCTGGGCAGAGTTTCATTACAACACCAGCTATCATAGCAGCCTCAAGATGTCCCCGTTTCAAGCTTTATATGGTCGAGTTCCGCCTACTATTCCACAAGATACAAGGGGCTTTACTTCAATCTAAGCCCTCGACGAGGCCCTCACTACATGGGACGATCTTCTTCGCACCCTAAAAGCCAACTTGCTGGCAGCACAGAACCGGATGGCTATCCAAGCTAATGCTCATCGCCGTGAGTTAACTTTGACGTGGGCAATATGGTACTAGTCCGTTTATAGCCATACCGCCAGTCGTCAGTCTCTCGGGGCCGCCATCATAAGCTTTGCAAACATTTTTATGGCCCTTTTCCAATCTTGGAGCGTATTGGGCTCGTTGCCTATTGTGTGGGACTGCCCGAGGGGAGCCACATACGTCCAGTGTTCCACATCTCAGTACTCAAGCTATTCCGAGGCAAGATCGTTCACCAGAAACATGCTCTACCCGCAGGAAGTTGGGACAATCAACCAATTGACACTCCCGTGGCGATATGCGCCACTCGTAAGGTGCTCACCCGAGAAGGTCCACAGCAACAGGTTTTGGTGCAATGGTAAGGGTGTACACCGGAGGAAGCCACTTGGGAGACCTTTGTTGATTTCTGCACCACCTACCCGTACCTCCACCTTGAGGACAAGGTGGTTTTTGAAGGGGAGAGCAATGATACGACTATCTCCCTTCCTACGGACCTGGCCCAAGCCCAACCACCCGGGGCTTCTGAGGAGTTACCTACTGTTGAGACCACAGAAGAGCCCAAGGAGAAGGAACCTCCTGGAAGGCCCACACGCCCCATCAAGAAGCCAGCGTGGCTTAACGACTTTGTTTGAGGTCGTAATGAATGTTGAATAATTCCATTGAGTTTATTACCAGTCTGTATTAGCTATTTCAATTTGGTTTCTGTTACTCTTCTCCTAGCCTAGGGAGTCACGAAGTTGGTTATGAGGTTTTGCTTGGCTCACGCCATTTAAGCAGAGGAATGTAACGATGTGAGGTATCAAAACAATTACTAAGAAAATTTCTTCCAATCTTGATTCTATCGCTTTTCTCAATCTTATTCTTTATGGAGTTCACACCTGCTCGAAAGGTGAAATTCGACACTTAACATAATTTAACTTTTTTTTAGCTTTTCTCCGATCTAACTATTTGCCAAATATAATTAGTAAAAAGAGGCTTGTCATCTTATTTTTTCTATTATTTATTCTTTCAAATAATAATAAATGCAAGAGTTCTTTTTTAAAAAAAATTCAATAAAATTATTTATATTTTAAATTTAATAAATATTAAAATATTTTATGTTTAGCTAAAATAGAGAGTATGTTGTGTTAAAAAAAATAAAAAAGTGTGATTAGAGTAACTCACTTAAAAGTTACTAGCTAAAATATCTTTTTAGCTATTTTGACTAGAATTTAACTAAAATTTAGAGAATTCCTTACCAAAAAAAAAAAAAAAAAAAAAGGCAATTTAAAGAAAAATTGTGCAGGTTTATACTATTAGTGCTCAGCCCTTTTCTTTTCATTTCTATTTTTTTCCCCTCTCACTTGCCCACTTTCCCTTCAATACAACTTCCATTACAAGAATTCATATTTCCTCCTCTTTTCTACTTCAAACTAAAGTGTAAATTTCACTTCTATAAAAATATTAATGTGTTTATTTTTATATAAAAAGCAGATATTGATGCTCTATGATTTTATTTAGACAATATAAGGATTTGGACTTATAGAACAAATTTAAAAAATAGAGATATAGAGATATAATTGTCGATGTTTGTTTTTATTGTATGTGACATTGATATTAATTCTTATATTCAAATTCCAATCTCCGTACTAAAAACGACCCTAATATGGAAATTCAAAACACAAAATCAAAATCACAACTAAATAGAAAATTACTTTGATCAAATTAACATGTTTTAAAATATATATATCATAAAGGGAATTAGTAAACTTAAGAGGTTTTTTTTTTTTTATTAGTTATGGTCATGGGTCAAAAGGTTATGAAACTAAAATATTAAATCTGAATAACAGTCAGAGATTTTTTTTTTAAAAAAAAAAGTTGAGGTAAACAATAAAGTATATTTTACAATTATTCTATAAAAATAGTACTACGATTGAAAAAACATGAAAAACTATCAATCGGCCGCCAAAAGTTTTCATAAGATTTGAATTATTTGAAAAGGTGAATTAAATATGAATGATAGACTTGTAGTTTAAAAATTAAAGAATTACTTGTGAAAAAACAAACAATAAAGTATATTTTGATTATTATGCATATAAAGTTATAACATTGTATAAAAAATAAAAAACTATTTATGAAATCATAATCTTTTGAAAAGAATTTGATTCTTTGAAGAAGTTAAAAGAAATATAGTAAACGTGCTGTATTAAAAAAGATACATGATTATAAATAAATGGAAAAATTTTATTTTATTTTCTCTCTATCACACAATCCGAATATCTACTAAAATCTCTCCTCCAACTTTTTCCCTCTTACTTGTTCACTTTACAAAACATGCAATGCAATGAATGAAAATATCATAAGTTATAATTGAAATAGAAATACGAATGTAACATATAAAACATAAAGGCACGTGCTTTTGGTGCCCCTCTTTACTAATTTCCTAAAAAAAAAAAAAAAAAAAAAAACTATATAGATAAGCTATAGAAATGAAGAAATAAGTACCTGAGGATTGCTAAAGGCAAGAACCATAGCACCAATGCAATTTACCAAGAGTATCCCCGTACAAAAGAAAGTAGTATTTCTAGGTCCATATATCGTTGGAAATGTTCGTATATTATGCCTGTAATACCATTAAAATTGATTTAAACGTGGCTTAAAATACAAGTTAACAAAAGGTTGAGATTTGAAAGGTGATCAAAATGGAAAATTTTAAAATAAAAATTACAACTTACATGATATCACCTTCAACATCTGCAAGATCTTTCATGTTGTAAATGACCACAGTAAACGATGTTAAAAAGGCAGAGATGAAAACGGTTGAGAGACTGTGGTTAAAATTGAAAGCCAAACATTAGATTTCTATGAAAATTTGAATATGTGTATGGATGAGCTGAAATATTAAAGTTTTACTTGGAGGTTGATAGTAATATTATAAAATTGGACCGTCAGTCAAATTAGTTTAGTTTATTGTTTATTCTATAAATAAAATGTTGAACCATAATGTAGTTTTTGTGAATTGGAGTTTTATTTGGCGTCATCTTTTGTGGACCATTGAATGTCAACGCTAAATTAGCAGCTAATATAAAACTCACCCATTATAAGCCTATATCTTTACCATCTTTACTTACTACAAATATTAAGCAGGCTATACCTTCGAAAAAATATAATACAAACAATAAATTATATGTCATATTCAGACACTATAAGTTACCTTATAAACATTAATGTGCAGTTTGATTAACCGTTTTAACAACAATCTAACCTTTTTACTTGATTTATAAAAATAAATTTATATAAGTAAACTTATAAAACAATAAATTATATGTCATATTTAAATACAATGTATTATTTTTCCACAAGTCTAAATTTTTGTTCAATTATAAACCAAAAAGACCAATATACTACAGATGAAAAGTTGGTTGAAGTTAAAGAGGTGGGAATTTGATTTATATTATACAAAAGATGAAAGAAACTGAGACAAAAGATCCGAAAAAGTTAAAAACATCACGCAATAAGAATTTGATTTATATTCCAGTAGAATCATAAAGCAACCAAGAAAAGTTCAGATATGACTGTTTGTTACGCAAAAAAAAAAAAATATTTTTTTTCATAAGATCCCTAAATTAATTAGCATTCTCAGTACCTAAAGTAAGAGCATCATCACATACCTTGATCTTTGAACATTTTTTTGGACATAAACTTTTTGCTTAAGGAAGTTTTGGTCATAAAATTACCGATGAAGCTTTTATAATTTAACGCAGATAATGATATTCATTGTGTGATAAATTAAAATTTTATAATAGATATAGTTACATAAAGTGCAAAGCTGGTGTTCTTTTAGGGATTATTAAAGACTTTGAAAACTATAACATTTTTTTACTTAATGTAAATTTCTGTAAAATTTACAGTTATTATGCGAAAAGGGATTTTTTTTTATCTTGATTAAATTTCATAAATTCTTTATTAGTTTTAGTATCAGTTACTAAAACTATATAAAAAATAAGTTTAGAGCATGATCTAACCAAAAAAAAAAAAATGTATCAGAGTATATAAAAATATTCATAGTTTGTGTACTAATACATAGCCAAGAACCCAACTACTTAAGCTACGTCAATTGGTTATGAACACTATTGTGCCCATATGACCCAACTACTTAAACTACTAATTAACACGACATATGAACAACAATAAATAATGATTAAAGTTTCGTCTATTTGATCCACTCAATCTGTAGGAATACTCTAAAACCCATATTTAATGAGAATACGTAAAAGTAAACATTATTATTTGAAAGACAGAGCAAAACACGAAAAATAAAAGAATATATATATTTCTTTTTGTTTCAGAAAGATTGTTACACACCTCCATTGAAATGGAATTCCAAGGGAAGCTCTGGTGGCATAAAGTACACCATTGACGCGAAGGATTCCACCTGACTGCATAAGCATTTGAAACGGTGACAGAGGTAAGGTTTTATTTTAAGGAGGCATAAATTAAAAACACTAAAAATGCTAAAAAAAACTTCAAAATATCCACTTCTAATGCTATTAACTAGATAGAAGTATGTGCTACACACGTGCATATTTAGTTTATTGAATTTCTAGTATAAAAAGATAGAAGCATGTGCTACGTACGTACATATTTAGTTTATTGAATTTCTAGCATAAACATAAAATTTTATGAAGATTACAATTTTTTATTTATGAAAGAATGTTCAAATAGGGACACATTGGAAATAAACATTACTTCAATAAGGGTAAATTAGAAAAAAAAAAGTATTTAAGGGATAACAATTGAGAAGATTGTGCGAAAACGATTCTTAAATAATGACACATTTGAGAATAATTATATTAATGGGTATTTATTTATTTATTTATTTATGAAAGTTCTCTTATTTGAGATCACTTTTGATATGATAAAGACTACATTAAGTTAGATTTAGTATGGAGATATTTGAAATTCGGTTAATTAAGAGGGGGCCAAAATGAAAAATATTTGAAGAATTATATGCATTTAACAAAAAAATTCAGGGGCGTAAAAAAACTTTCTCAAAAACCAGGGGGAGCATATGCCCCCGGGCCCCACACCTCTCGGCCCTTGATATGAAAAATGAACCATTGAAAAGATGTTTTTAGCTTTTAAATTTATACAAGAAATTATTTGTTAATTTGTATATTTTTTTAATCTATATAATTTTAATCAAATTTAACGAATGAAAATTAGTCATTCTTGTAAGAAGGCCTTACGAGAAACAGACCTCTTTATTTTGTTTTGTTTTGTTTTTTTTTTTAAGATGTTTGTAATTAGAGCAAGTTGTAACTTCACGAAGTATATATATATATATATATATATATATATATATATAAATTAAAATAATTGTTTTTAATTAATAAATAGAAAATAAAGGAGACAATAATATTTAATTATTTAAAATGACAACAAATTACGTATTTTTTCATATATATATATATATATATATAAGCATATATATATCTTCCACTTCGATATGCTAGCACAAATTGACAACTTGAAGATATACAGATAACAACATTTTTTCTAAAAGCATATTAAATCAACTTTTCATGTAATCGATTTTAACTTTATAGAGGACCATTAAATTATTAATGATGGATGACCCAATAAAAATTTTAAACTTAAACACAACTTCATCACAATAATGGGAGGATGTAAAGAAAATATACCACAGAATTCACCATAGATGTTGCAATAGGAGATTTTTTGAATCTAATTGGAGGGGCAGAATAGAAAAAGTCCAGCAAAAGTGTAAGACAATAGATAGATGTTGTGATTAAGTCAGCATTCATCAACCACAAAATCAATAGACTAGCTAGTAGATAAAATGTCATCAAAAACCATGCTTGTTTTAGTGAAAGATTCCCTGCTGGTATAGGTAAATAAGGTTTATTCACCCTGAAAAATAAAAGAGACAAAGACAGAATAAGTTAAAAGATTTTTGCAAGTAATTCAACTAAAAAAAAATTATATTAAATAGGCTTTTACAATTGTCCGACCGTTTCTAATGCATCATTTTTATAAAAAAGTTAGATGACGTGTAGTAAAAGAAAAAGGTAGAGTGAGAAAGAGAGTGATAAAACTAGGACTGTTTATGGGTTGGGTTGGTGCGGGGTAGGATTTTTTTTTCCCGTCTTAAAGGGTGTGGATTGCACATATTTGGCCCCAACGATGTTAGAAAAATTTCACAACCCAATGATGTTCGGGTTGGGTTGGGACGGTGCGGGGTGGGTTGGGTGGTCGGTTTCAAAATTCAAAAAATCAAAGACTTAAAGTTCAATATAATATTCAAACTTCATCATTCAATAGAAATATCAATAATTCTTATCAGTCCGGCGAGAGAGCACCGGAGAAAGTGGGCAAGAAGGCGGCCGAGAGGACTGAGCAATGAGGAGAGTGTTATGAGGGGGTTCACGGGAGGGGAAGAAGAGGGAAAATTGAAAAGGAAGAGGCAAGAAGAGGGGGTTCACGGGAGGGGAGACCGAGAATGAGATTGTGAACCCTAATGTTAGTGAGCCTAAGGTAGAACTTAGGCAGTTCGGCTTGGGCCGAAAGCTTGGGGGTATGTTGTGCGGGTTGGGTTGAGGATTGCGGGTTGTTATGGGCCTAACCCGCAATCCGCCCCAAACACTTCGGGCCAGAGGTATAATGAGCCGCAAATTTAAAAATAATGCTACGGGTTGCTTTTTTCAACTTGAATTGGGGCGGGGTGGGTTGGATTTGCGAGTTGTTCGGGTTTATGAACAGCCCTAGATAAAACAACTTATCCTAGCATTTTTCATGTATGTGAACCTTACGAACTGATTATGAGCACTAGGAAATTGGTGTTGTTTTCTTCACTGTTATTGATTTAGAGACACTTTAAAGGAATATACGTACTTGGAGATTAACCGTACCTGTCAATATCAGCATCGTAAATCTGATTAATGCCACTATAAAGGGAGTTCCCAAGTATCATAACAATTAAGCCCGGGAATGCCTTAAACAATAGAGACCATTTAAACAATTGTGGGTTCTCAACTAACACTCTTGCAAACAAAGAACTGCCCAAAAAAGAGAATACACACAAAATAAATTATAACATTAACTTTCAATGTCCGTAAAAAAAAAAAAAAAAAAAAATAATGTTAAAGACACCAACTCAAATCTCATTTTTTGTGTATCAATATATATAGTACACGAGTTATTATCTTTATTAATAAATGTAATATTTTTTATTAATTAACGTGACAATAATTTGAGTTGGTGTCGTTAACTTTATTTATTAAAAAAAAAGGTCCCACCAGAAGAGTAGAAGTTAGTTTCCAGTACAATAAATAAAGTCTACTTACACGGCAAATACAGTTGTCCCATACATTGCGTAGGGCCTCGTGAATTGATAGCAAGCAGATCCAAAACGTGAAAGTTGAGCAAGTGTTGAATTGGAATCAGCAGATTCAGGTTGAGCGTATACCTAACACCATTTACTTCACTTGATGAGTGAAAAAAAACCAATTGGACAACTTTTTTTTTTTTATTTTATTTTATATTTTTTAAGCAACTCAAACAATATCCCACTTTAATTTATTACAAAAATATATACAAAGGAAAAACAAAAATAAAAAAGTTTTAGAATCCAGCTATAAGGGTCAATCAAACAATAGAAAAATGACGGCCTTGTTCATTCATAACTCAAGTTTAAAATTTGAGTTGTGTATATAAAAGAAAAATATTATATTAAAAAAATTGAATTTGAATTTTTATGAGAAAAAAATACTATTACAATAAAATTTGAGTTATAATTTGAGTTGTAAAATGAATAAAGCCGTAATAATTATACAATAATCCGAAAAAGAAGGCAAATGAAAAGAACCGGAAATTAACACCCGTTTCATAATTGGACAACTAATTCCAATGGTAATCAAACCATAGGAGTAATTATGGCATGTTTACTACTACTGATGAAAAATTTCGTGCTGCGCACAAGTATGCCCTTCGGCAACATGGCATGGACGCAGACATCAACCCATGTGTTTGCGACGTTGGCTTCTCACAGATGCATTACTTCTTGGTAATGTATCAATGATTTTCATAACTGCAGTATGAGGCTATTAAATGAGAGTAGGAACTGTATTACACATAATGTGATTCTGTTGAATTAAAACACATATATGATTTGAATTTCTAATAATTTTCGTTCAGTATAAAAATTCAAATTGAGTCTACCGATGGTCATATATAGAACGATCTTAATATTAAGTTATTAACAAATTCTTATTTATGAATTTGTGTCTTTTGACTTAGTACAAATTTTGAGATTGTTAAATCTTATTACTTATATCTTGGAGACATAATAAAATGGATAGCCAGGAATCTTATTCTCTGTAGTGGAGTATCTCCGAGTCGAGGTTGGGACGTGCACGGAGACCGTACCCAGACCCGGCAGGTTCGGTTAGTTGGATTTTATATTCATTTTGAATGAATTTGTTTTGGGTCTTAACAATGTTTCATGAATACTTTTTGCTCTAATCGGTAATGAGTAGGGTACGGGGAAAGTCTCTAACGGGGATTAATCCCGACTCAAGTTAAGCAAGTATGGGCGCGGAGGGCTATTTGAAGCTACGATCTTTCTCATCTTTCTCACCCCATCCCGACGCCATATTCAATAAAGAAATAAAAAGAGAATTGACGTGCCATATTGACCCAAGTGGCAACGAAATAAAGCATACCCGAATCGTATTATGCGCATGGTTTGACAATCTGCTTTTCCCATATATGTGAAGTGAAACAACTAGGAAGCCCTGCAGTGTCGAACGATAATAGGCGGTACTCCAGGAGAATGGGGAAAGATTGAGAGTTCCATATATGTGAAGTGAAACAACTAGGAAAAAAATAAAAATAAAAAGAAAATAGTGAAGAAAAGGTGTTGAGCGCAAATGCTTCAAGAGCTTCAAATTATAAGAGCACGGTGTACGTGCTCATTATTTCCATTCTTATACGGTTATTTTTCTTCTATTTTTTTTGGCTTACCCCAAGTTCCAAAAAAAAAAAAAAAAGAAGAGCGAGAGAAAAGAACATATTACTTGATGGATATCTCAAAATTTTAATGTATTAGCAACGACATTTCAAAATTTTATCGTTGTAAATATATTATTTGCGTCTAATTTTTTGTGCCGACTAAATTTACGATGACAGGTCGTCACAAATATAATATGACCGATGACAACGTACTCTTTTGCGACGACATTCCGTCATTGCAAATAAGCTTTTTTGTAGTGTCGTGTCGCTATCTGGATTGCTAACCCTATGTATACCCTAATTAGTTTTCTATGTGACTTTTTAAAAAAAAAAATTTAATTTAGATATATATATATATATTTGAAAAAAAGACACTACTGAAATGATGATTTGCAAATATGCACAATAGGTAAATATCTTTTAATTTTTCATATGTACAACCTAATCACTATTCTATTTGATTTATCCATATTAAAATCTTTTTTTAACATTTCTATATTATTTATGAAAATAAAAAACATATGTTATGATTAAAACACACATTTTGATACATCTATTTTTCTAAAATTTAATTTTTTAAATGTGGCTCATCATAAATTATTCGTATATTTATTTTTTTTTATCTCTTTTACTACTATGTGTTTGAAACCAAAATACAATTCTCTAATAACTTAGTTATGGAACACACATAACAATACGTGTGGAATACGATCCCTAAAGCTAGATCAACCATATAACTTTTCACGTGTTTAACACAGATTTTACTCTATCATTAAAGATTCTATTTTTATCGTTAAATTAATTTTTCAATAATTAATTAGATCTACCATAAGAATAATTATATGTCTCGCACTGTAAATTTTACATACGAACCTAGACAGTTTTAATCGTTAAGAAAATAATTTAATGGTTAAAAACAACTCCTTATTAATAGAGTAAAATAACTTATCCCACCATAAAATTCTCATTAAACATTCCAGTCTAAATTTACCAATAAAAATTTCCATAAATTTTGTTTTTTAAAAAATTAGAATCCACCATCCACGTGCAATTACTACCTAAAGACTAAGTCACCAATGATAATTATTGATAAGAACAAAGCTATATTCATGTTGACTGTAGAAAGTCATGACGAAAACAGGATTTTCCATTACCTGTACGATAACAAGCACGTGCAGCTACCTCTAGTTTGTATGACAAATCCGCGCTGTGAAACCTTTTTTTTTTTTTTTTTTGGCTTTCAAAGACCGGGAAATATATGTCGAATTATTATCATACAAACGAACACAATTTGACTTACACGGTCTCAAACTATTTTAAAAAGATCTTCATAAACAATCAGTTCTACTTAATGAACTCAAATCTTCATAAAGTTTACTTTATCTTTTTTAGTTGGTTAATTTAAGGCAAAGTCAAAAGAACGTTATTTTGGAAACTTTTGTATATCTCTTCAAGCTAACGTATTTTGTCTTTTTTGTTCTTTTTTCTTGGTAGCTTGCATTAACGACTAAAGTATAATGACTTGGAGTTCCATTTGAGTACTGGAGGTGCGTTATAATTAATATATTATTTTCCATATTTGCGTCTTTAATTATATAAAGTCACGAGAGTACACTGTCATTTCATGTACATTAAATATTTGAAGAAAATTAGCATATATATCTTGCATTTCTTTTTGAAAGTTATATATCTGGCATTTTAAGAAAAATAAAATTTAAACAATAATCTGGAAGTTGTCTTACGAGCTTTAAATTAGCATATATATCTTACACACTGTCACTTAGGAGACCTTTAGTTCATGGATTAGAATCATGTAATTAGAACTATTTTCAATTTACGTATATTTTTTGTCAGAGAAAACACTGTAGCGAACCATAAACTATAATTTAAATCATGATTTCAATCCTCCAACCAAACGTCCTCTTAGTTAACTCGTTGCTTTCATCACTGCCTTTGTATTGTAAAACTTTAGATCTACAATATCCAAAGATCTTAAAACGTCATGATCTTCACAGAATTATAATTATAGGCGTAGTTTGACTCATTGCTTTGATTTGATGAAGATCACTTCTACAAGGAATTTGAAGGAGAAGTAGAATCTAAGTTTCTCTCTCTAGACCCTCTATAATCTTTAACGTATTTTTCTGATGGAGAAAATGTATACAATTATTAGGTGGAGAGAGGATTAGACTCTTATTTTATAAACTATGAATTAGTATTTTTCATCAAAGTACACATCACTTTATGAGATGCAGACACATTCATTGATAAGAATTGTAACCCCTCATAGCTAATAGGATTTTAGTATTACGATAAATATTAAACCATTAAATAAATAATATTATTGGACTTTTATTTTATTATGTGGCCACATAATTCTTACATGTATTTCCATCCATGCAAGTAATTAAGGGTGACCGCAAGCAAGTAATAAGATCTAATTTCTTACTTGTAAGTAATTGTTGAAAGCAAATTTGGCAGTCCGTAGGAGAATATAATGGAAACGTGATAAGTTAAGCAAGGAAAATGTATGAATAACAAGATTGATCTTTGATTTCATATCTAGTATGTACTCATTTATTAATTAAAGCCCGATATTTTTATTCAGCTCCACCACAAGGTATAAAATGAGAAATAATCTAATTCTTCACTACTAAAAAAATCTTAATTATTGGTGGTTTTGACTGCCATTAAAAGTATAAGACGGCGGTCAAAAAGTGCAATTAATTAATCTAGGCGCCATTAAATATTGTGTGAAATATAATGGCGGTAAAAAATAAACACTTTAGATGGCTATTGAACAGAATTCGTTGTCTAATCTTTTCCCGTTTGGTTGGAGGATTCGTTCTCTGATTCGAATCATGGTTTATGATTTGCTACAGTATTTTCTCTCACAAAAAATACACATAAATTGAAAATTATTCTAATCTCATAGTTTTAATCCATGAACCAAACGGGCTCAACTTTAGATGGCGATCTAACGAAAATCGTCATCTAATCTTTTAACTATAAATAGCGGTTGAATGTTGATTGCCATCTAATAGTTTACACTTTAGACGGCAGTTGAATGACAACCCTTTTTCAGGGTACTTCTCAGTTGACCGCTGTGTGATTTTTTTTTAAGAAAAATAATTTCCTGCAATTTTTAGAATAAATTTCTATTAGAACCCAATTTTTTTTTTTTTTACATAAATTTCATAATTTCCTATATAATAATGCGTACAATACAAAACTTCTTTAAACAAATATTTAAACAATAATCTGGAAGTCATCTTACGAGCTTTAAATTAGCATATATATCTTCCACACTGTCACTTAGTTAACTCCTCGTTGCTTTCATCACTGCCTTTGTATTTCCATCCATGCAAGTAATTAAGGGTGACCGCAAGCAAGTAATAAGATCTACTTTCTTACTTTAAGTAATTGTTGAAAAGAAATTTGGCAGTCTGTAGGAGAATATAATGGAAACGTGATAAGTTAAGCAAGGAAAATGTATGAATAAAAAGATAGATCTTTGATTTCATATCTAGTATGTACTCATTTATTAATTAAAGCCCGATATTTTTATTTAGCTCCACCACAAGGTATAAAATGAGAAATAATCTTATTCTTCACTACTAAAAAAATCTTATTTATTGGTGTCTTTTGACTGCCATTAAAAGTATAAGACAGCGGTCAAAAACCGCAATTAATCTAGGAGCCATTAAATGTTGTGTGAAATATAATGGCAGAAAAAAATATACACGCGGTTGAGCAAGAGTTGCTGTCTAATATTTCAACTTTAGATGGAGGTCGAACGAAAATCGCCATCTAATTTTTTAACTTTAGATAGCGGTTGAATGTTGATTGCCATCTAATAGTTTACATTTTAGATGACAGTTGAATGACAATCCTTTTTCATGGTGTTTCTCAATTGATTGCTGTGTGATATTTTTTTTAGGAAAAAGAATTTTCTGCAATTTTTAGAAAAAATTTCTATTAAAACCCAATTTATTTATTTATTTATTTTTTTTACATAAATTTCATAATTTCCTATATAATAATGCGTATAATACAAAACTTCTTTAAACAAATATTTTTTATATTAACATTAAAAAGTCATTAACAACTTTAATCTTAAAAAAAAAGAACACACGCAATTTGAAAAATTAGAAATTGAATATTTAACAGTTACCTAAAGCATATTCTAAAAAAGTAACCTAAAGCAGTTCAATATGTACTAAATACATACATAAAAACAACAGTCTACAAAAATGGTGTCAGACTACCCGCCCCCATTCACTTCGAACTTCATCAGTCTCTTCTTGTGTGTAAGTACGCTTACTGAAAAACTACACAAAGAAAAAATAATTTGTTAGTCATATTTTCTTTTTTAAAACTGCGAACATAATTTAGCATAATAAGGTTTTGCAATTACCCCATTTTCCATCATGTCCATGGCACCAAAGGAAGAATCAATGAGCTCTTTCATATATCGCATTATATAGTATCCACATTCTACATTTGTAGGTTGCTGATTGTACTGCTTGCAAAGCAAAATATGTTAACTTAGCATAAAAAACAATATAACCTAATAATACTTGATGAGATATAATTGAGCTTACAGTAATAGGCATCCACGTAAGTTTGTCTCTGGGCAGTGGCGGATTTAAGTACAGTTCAGTGGGGGCTACTGTCCCCACTCAAATTTTTTTGAAAAAAATATTACCTTTAAAAATTTTAAAATTTTGCAC